TGCCCTGAATCCTGGAGAGAGTCCATCTGATGTTTCTGAACTGGATGCACTAAAGCAAGTCCTCAGACAGGCATCGCATGCCAGCCCCACAAAGACTCTGCAGATCTACCAACACGCAGCTCCTTCTTGCTGATGGAACAGTTGAATTCTGTATTCCTAAGTAGGCCAGGGTAGCTGAGATAGCTGGTCTACTCCAGTCTAGGGGAGAATAAATAAATAGGCTGTAGTTTACATTCTGCACAGAGCAGTGCCTAGGCTCCGGAAATGGCCAGGAGAGGTGCTCCTGTGAGCTGAGGAAGATTTTTCAGAGAATTTGCAAGGCAATTGGAAGGCAAGTTGGACCCTTGAAGTCAACAACATGTATTCATTAACTGTGACAAACACTACATCAGGGCTTTCCTATTACCTGACAACATTCAAACTATCATCCTCGCACATCAAGAGGATTGCGATCCATACTCATCTCTCTGTGGGAGGTGTTCCTGCGTATACAAGCATAGTAATTCATACACATCTGTTTGTGGGATGACCGGCTCAGAGCTGATGGTCCTGATTCACACATATCCTTGCACAAGTATACAAGCAGAGTCTGAACATGGGCTGCACCTCAAGTGCTTACCCATTTATAAATCTCAGCAAATGTGCACAACCTGGAGGACCGTATTCTCATCTTAAGACAGAAGTGTATGGCTCAAAGATGGAATCAAACATGCTTAGGAAGATAACACAAAAGTCATGTATTAGTTCATACATATCTCTTTAAGCAGAACTGTTCCATATTTTTCAGATAAAATTAAATCCATCTGCATGTTAATATTTCCTGGGATCATAATGCAGCTTAATTTGCTCCTTCACATATTTCAAGATGGTAACAGATCTAACGCTTTTTGGATTTTCATCCCTAAGAACCACATTCAAAAGAAAAGAAAACTAGAAAGACATAATAAAATCAAGGTCGGGAAGATGAAGCCCCCTTAATTCATGTGCCAAACTTCCCATTTCCAGTGTGGTTTTGTCTCCCAGCTAAAGTTTGTCTTTTTGTGACATTTGCATTAAGCCCAGAGGACATTTTGAGTGGAGACACGCTGAAAGCATAATTGAAACGCTGAGTGGTGCCGTTTGCCTAATTTGCATTTTCCCCCAGGTAGGGGGGGTCACATCTCCCCTCTCTTCTCCTGGGGTGCTCTAAGATTATCTCAAAGAATGATGTTATGCGACCGATTCAATAAATTCCCACGTAGGGTTTATTATATGTATAACTTTCTTTTCTTTCTAGAAGCAATTTTAAATGCCACCACGATAAAGTACGTGGAGAAGTTAATAGTAGGTTCAGAATAGCCTGGACAGTCCATTGTCCCCTCAAGTGGAGGTTTCAAATATTTGTCTACAAATTTAAATGTTTATAAGAATTTTTTTTGTTTTGGTTATCCACAGTGTCCTCTCCAGCTATGTACAAGGTTGTCTCTATAGAAACAAGCATTTTTTAAAAAATAGTCAGAAGCTATTCAATTTTACCTTTAAATATATTCTTTGAACCCTATGCCTCCAAACACACACTGTCTGGGGCTATCAACAAAGCTAATGAGATCATGATGCAGGGGTGGTCCCTCCATTTGCTCCTCTTAACCAGTAATATAAGGTAAGATTGTCAAGCATGGTGATTCTGCTCTGATGAACTACTCTTCCTGCATGTCCAGTCAATCATTTAGATAGTGCCAAAGTTGCTAGCCTAAGTGCTTTGCTGGGACTTGTGTCTTTGACTAGTCTTCACCATTGATGCTACATGCATTTCATGACAGATGTCTGGCTGTCATTATAAACTGCTTAGGGTGGGGGCCATGTATGGATTGTTCTAGATGAGAGATGAGCAGAGAGGAGCATAGTCCCAAAGCCAGCCCTTTCTAGGATGCAACAAATAAATGTTACTCCAAAGGTTTAAGTAGATCCAAGGACCTAGTTTTTACTAATAGAACTCAATTTATTTTGACACATATTAGACAATTGCATTTGGAGTGCCAGGCACTAGTGGCTCATACTATAATACCAGCCAATCAGGAGGCTGGGGATGAGAGGGTCAGGTAGACGGTGTCCACTGTGAATGGCTGTGAGGGCCACGGTGGGAGGAGCCATGCAAATGTGACTTAAGGCTCATCACAACTGTCAGCATTTCAGAAGAGAAAAAGAATCATAGCCTGCATTTCCATGAAGCTGTCTTTGCCAACAATCCATGTGGAAATTGTTCAGAACACCTTTTTTGAATCTTTAACTTCCCTCCGTTGAGGTCTTTTTTCTGTCGTAGCTGCCCATGTGAGGAAGGAAGTTAGAATTTCACCTAGGGACGCGAAGAGATTCACAGGTGGACAAGGCTGACCCGGAGTCCGCCGAGCCTGGCTTCCTCTAGTGCCATCTCCATGGTAGCGGCACAGGCGGCAGCCCTGAGCAAGCATGCCCGCCTAGAAACAAGGAGAAGGGCATGGAGCAGGCAGAAAGCCAGCCGGAAGCAGACTGCCACACGGGGAAAAGGAAGAGGCAGCCCTCCTAGTGTTGGGGATCGCAAGAACATCAATAATCACGCACATTTGTGGAACTTAGCTCTGTCCCGAGGGTTTGGCCCGTGGAGGCCCATGTAGCATTCTCTTCTGCCTCTGGAGGGCGCTGTTCTCTAAGGAAGGCTGTGTTACTAGCCTTGGCAGTAGAAGGAACTGGGTACAGAGGTAGAGCTTGTCTGAGCAAGGACCAGAGAAGGCCTTCAGAACTAGCATCTGACATCCTGCCTGCCTTCCCAAGCGTGCAGAACAGCAGCTCCTGGCGTGCCAGGCCCCAGGACTCCACTCCCTTTCAGTCGTAGCTGAACAACATGGAGTCCTGGCACTCTGAAAGTGTATTGTCTAAGGTCCTGGTGCTTAGCATGTTATGCGTTTGGTTCATCTGTGGCGCTTCTGTGGGATGCTGGTGCTCAGACTCCAACCCAGCCTGAGTTGGTCACAATCTCCAGAGAGAGGGGGCAGGTATCACTTTCCTTTTAAGTACTCCCCTGAGGATGTCATAGATATCAGCCTTGAGAAGAACATTTCCCGTGTAAAGCATCTGCTTCTGAGCTGGGGGGAGGCACAGAGCTCGAGGGAAAAACAGTGAACAGGTGCGGCAGTGGGGCTCACTACACCCAGTGTTGAAGGTGAACTGGACGACCTGCGTTGCGGGTAGAGATGGGGGAGTGGGCCTGGGAGAGAATGAGGGAAGGGATGACACCATGCAAGAGGAATTGTAAGTGAGGCGCCAGTGGCTCACGCCTGTCATCCCAGTTACTCAGGAGGCTGAGATCTGAGGATCACGGTTCAAAGCCAGCTTGGACAGGAAAGTCTATGAGACTCTTATCTCCAATAAACCACCAGAAAACCAGAAGTGGCACTGTGGCTCAAGTGGTAGAGTGTTAGCCTTGGGCTGAAGAGCTGAGGGACAGCACCCAGGCCCAGAGTTCAAGCCCCATGACCAACAACAACAACAACGAAGGAATTGTACTCATGACCTGACGTATGTAACTGTAATCCCTCTGCATATCACCTTTGTAATAATAATAAAGGCATTTTTGGAAAGGAGAAGCAAGGACCCTTGGAGCTGTCAGCTAGTTGGTATGGGTGGGACGGGGGCTGGGGTGTACTGTCTGAGGGCCTGTGACTCTGAACAGAAATAGGGTCTCAGCCTGGCACCTCTTGTGCCCACTAAGGATTTGTGAGATGCCAAATGGAGTTGAGACGAAGAAACCACTCCTTTTCTTCTTGCTCATCGGTGCCTAGGAAATGGAGCGCCCAGAACTCAGGTTTACCGAGGCAGCAGATCGGATCGGGGGCATTCTCTCGCTCTCTCCTTGTGCAGTCGGCAGTGCTCTGTTGTAACCGGAGGGGGTGGAATCAGTTCTTATGGAGAGGAGAAACGGTGTACATAAAGGAACAAAGTACGATATGCGTGCAATGGGCAGGCAGACATGAGTACAACTGTGATGTAAGATTCCATAAGTTCATCTGTGATCTTAAGACCTTAGAAGAGGGTGGTGATTATGAAAACAAAATGTCTGACGAGGCTTCTTAGGGGCATAGGTAGTGGAAAAACAAAAGCCCAGAGGAGCTGCTGAAAATGAGGCTCGCTGGGAGGCTGGGAGGCAGGAGGCAATGCGCAGCCCTGGACACAGAGCTGGGCACCTGGAACCACTCAGTGAATGGCAGGCATTCGTCCAAGCATCTTTCCTTCAGCGCACACACAGGTTCCAATTATGCTGTGGGCTCTGCTAAACTTTAATGGGATTATGGAGAAAGATTAACAGACGTGGCTGAGCACCGAGTCCAAGCCGCGTGCTGTTTAGAGAATGGAACAGGGCCAGGTGCTCAAGGTCAAGTTCTCCATCCCTTATCCATCTCTACGACTGGGCTTAACCGAGTCAGGAGGTCACGGAAGGTCTTCATCTCAGTGCTCAGCCTCACCTGCAGCCTCTCCTGCGCACAGCTCCCCCGAAGTCCCCTACCACACAGCATCGTTTTGCTTGCAGAGTGGTTTTGGATGGGATCATTATCGATGGCCTTCCGCATGCACGTAAAAATGTGTCACATTTATTACTGGAGATGTAGAGATAAGTGAAAAAAAAAATCAGATGCCACTTCTGCCCCTGACTCTGGTGAGGAAGACACATAAATTAGACATATTTATGCAATGCTATATTTGTACAAGAAGCTGCGGAGCATGGGGCATCTTGGAGCTGAATGGTGCAGAATGATGAAGACTTACCCTGGGAAAGATGGCGGTGAGAGGTCCCTGTGACTGGCCAGAGCCAGTGATCAAAGCCACGGAGTGGAAAGGTTGTGTCTTTCCTGAATTCTCCTAGCACAGAGCCACTGAGTGTAAGTGGCTCAGTAGGGGATGAAGGGCAGTTCTGGGGTTAGGAGTAGTGAAGTGTCCATGTATAACAGCTGTCCAGCTTACCCTCGCTCTTTGTGTCTCCTTTTTCCCAGTGACCTTCAGTGACTGTCAGGGAAACGCCAAGCTGCGCTATGAGGTCTCCAGTCCCCACTTCAAGGTGAATGCGGATGGCGGCTTAGTGCCGCTGAGGAACGTCAGCGCGGTGGGTCGGACCCTGTTCGTCCATGCCAGGACTCCCCACGCCGAGGACATGGCCGAGCTCGTGATTGTCGGAGGGAGGGACATCCAGGGCTCCTGGCAGGTAAGGATTTGGCTAAGCTGCATCTGTGAGGAAATCACCTTGTCTGTCTCATGTGGAAATGGGTCTTTATTGCGTTGGCCAACGCGCTTTTGATTATCGTGACTACAAATGACTGAAGTACAACTCCCCCAAAAAATGGCGAGAGGAGGGACAACAGGAACTTACCAGTTCATAGATGATCGCTTGCCAGCATTGTTCACGGCTTCACACTGGTGCCCACAGGACGGCGTAGCTCTGATTTGTATCTATCCCGTGGCTCTGTATTCCCTGAGAGAATCTCTTCCCGAGAAGGTCAGAAAAGGCTGGATACTGATTCGCGTTGGCTCTCCTTGGATTCCATGCCCGTCTCTGAGCTAAGTGCCCTGTCCCCCGTGACACTCTCTCTAGCTGGACACACCTGGGTTATGTGTCTTTCCCTGAAGTCAGGGCTGAGGTAGTCCCCTTCACCTAAACACCCGACCGGGAGCCAAAGATGGGTGGTTCTTCCAGGCACACCACTTGCCAGAGCTGGGGGAGCAGGTTCGGGGCAGCTGTCAGGCGGGGCCTCGCAGAGCTGGGTGAGGCCAGGCAGTCACTGCACAGGCCGCTGGCCCTGCGGCACAGCAGGGCCCGTTCTCTTGCAGATGCCCACGTTGCTCATCTTCTCACTCCCCAGGGTGGGCGCACACTTTAGGAGTGCCACCGACTGCCATCCGGGCCCCTAGAGACCTTTTGCCTGAGCCGCTCTAGGTCTTTTGCCTTTGATGATAGGAAGTTTCCAAAAGACTCTTAAAAAAGAATAGCCCTGATAACAGTAGGTGCCCCGCTTGGCATTTCTCGCCTGCTCTCCTGCCTGCCACCCTGATCTTTGGAAGCCCCTGGTTCTCATGACCTTTCTCCATCTGCCACAACGCTGGCTGATTTGTAACCTGGTCTGGTGGTAGACGAAGCAGGACGCCACAGTTAAGGGCAGGGTGACAGACAACGTGAGTACAGGCTTCTGCCAACACTGTGATCTCGAGAAAGACATCCTGCTTCACAGGCCCCGGGGGCACCAGGTGGCCTGGGTGTAGTTCCCCCATCACTGGGCTCGTGGCTGAGGTGGCCTGCTCTGAGCATCCTTCCCAGTGCAGGCAGAACTGTCCGTGGATCAGGGAGAGAGGTTTCTAAGGCCAGAAAGTCGTTGCTATGAAGAGGCTAGACCCATTCCATAACCCCACAGTTCCCTTTCCCATCTGTGACTCTGTGAGTGAAGGGCAGCCCGAGGCCTCGAGGCTCGGCTCGGCATGGCCCTGATAGTTTCACAGAAAATAGGCTATTGGTGAGTACACGGAGACCGGTGTGGACGCCGATGGACTCCATAAAGGCAAGTGTTCCTCTTATTTAGCCACCGCGGTTTTCTCAGCATCTCACCAACTTGTGACCTAAATGACGCGGCAAATAACCAAAAGAACACAGGTGCTGATATACATGGTACCAGCGCTGCTCTGGAACAGAGAAATGCTGCGGAGGGCCGAGGAGAGGGGCGGCGAGGGGCTGAGCGTGTGCGCAGGGCCCTCAGTCAGCACGGCTCAGGGTTCATCTTTGTGTCAGGAAAGATGAGGTCAGATCGTGTTGCTTGGACGAGAGCCAGAGGGGTTCTGAGCACTTGTCGGGACAAATGCCGCTGTGCGGGACAAGAAGAGTAGGCTCTGTGGCTTGGCTCCCTCCAGTCTCCCAGTCTGTCCCCTGCTCTTGAGGCCAGGCAGGATGCTTTGCCGCAGCAGAGCTCCTTCCGGCTGTTTCTCCTTTGCCGCTGTCTGGACACACTGTGGACACAACTTGGCTGTGATTGTTTGCTTGCTCCCTGCGAAGCACAGAGAGGCGGCCAAGCTGTGCTGTGGGCCAGCTTCCGGCAGGACCGGACGCTCTTCTGCCTTGGTGATTTTGTGTGGTTTGGAAACAGCCCTTGTGCAGATGCCCAGATGAGCACATGATTGAGAGAGAGAGAGAGAGAGAATAAGAAAAATAGCAAAAAGAGCCCCTCCAAAGAGAGTAGACTTTGGTTAGACATATGTCCTCGGTACTCTGTATGGTCCTATTGTGTGTAACCAAGCAGGTTGCAGCCTTAAAGAGGAAGATTGGTGGGAGTGTGGGGCGTGGGCTCAGAGCCTTCGGACATGCGCAGGTGGTTAACGTACTAGGCCGGGGGCGGGGGCGGGGAATGGCAGGAGCTCTGCGCCCGTGGATGCGGGAGGAGCTCAGGGAGAACTGCGCCACCCGTGTACCTGGTTCTACTCCTGTGCGCATCTATTGTTGGCTCTGGTAACCTGCCGGCAACCATGGGGTGCACGTCTCTGTGTACTGAGGCAGCGAGAGGCGGGGGCCTTGCCCCGGGTGACACAGTGACAAGGAACAGGGTCCTTGCCTCTTCTTGATGCCACGCCACCCTTCCCTGGTCTTCGGGATGGGGGGTGAGAATGCCCCATGGGGGCGATATGCCGTTGCCTGCAGGAAAGGATCTCCCACACTCTACGGCCTTGGGCGGGTAGCTGTTCCACTGGGACCGTCCTTGGTGTGGGGATTTGTCATCCATAGAGAGGGGGTGGTAATAGACATCCCGGGGCCTCCAGGAGGATTGGATGGAACAACACACGCAGCACTCAGCCGATGCTGCAGCGGTGAACTTCAGTAATGACCAGAGCCGGCGCGGACATGGTGCTCGCTCCGAGTCCAGTGCTCTCTGCTGCTTCCCTGTCTCCTCATCCCCCCCCTCCCCGCATGCTGTTAGCTTCAGCATCTCTCCGGAGAGGACAGAGATGCCATGGCACCTCCTGCACCTGGGCCGTGTATCGAGAGGGCGTCAGGGCTGAGGGCTCAGACCCGGCAGCGTGGCTCCACAGCTCCTCCTCTTGACACAGATGCCCCGTTGTTGCCTGGCCCTGAAATGTGGGGCGGAGCGCAAAGGCCATTCCTACAAACGTGACAGCCATCCCAAGCGGGGCCCGAGACCCGGACGAGAAGATGCTGGGCGCCCTTGTAGGACTCTTCCAGCTTCTTCTCTTCCCACGGTAGAAGCTAGCCGAGCATCCCCTGGCCGAGCATCCTGGCTCCAGGTTTCCATTTCTCTTTCTTGAGCCGTGCACCCTCCTCCGCCCAGGCTTTTGGGGCTAAGGATGCAGCTTTGCATTGTGGGTATAAAGCATCTCACTGGCAGCGAGGAGCACAGCATCGCTTGGCTGCCCTCGGGTGTTGGTGAGCACATCCCCTACCTACCCCCGAAGAAGCCGGGGCTCAGAATCCCAGGAGAGGCCGGCGGGGAGATGCTGAGCGGAAGCAGGCGGGTAGCGGGCGGGAAGAGGACACGTTGATGGGCTGGACCACAGGAGCCACCGAGTTCCTAAGTGGGGAAACAGGCAGGATGCAAACAGCCACTGGAGGTATTCCACTGGGGACGGAAGTACCCAGAGCGACAGGCAAGGCTTCCAATAGCGGCCACCGCTGGTTTCCTTCATTTAAGGGACACTTTGTGTGATACTTCAGACCGTGGACATCTCCATGTGCGCTGTAACGTACATGAGTTCTAACCCCCACAGTGTCTTGTGGGGTGTCACCCACCCCCTCCCTGCAGCCTGGAGACCTCGGCCTCCACTTGACCGTTGAGGGACAGAAAATGGACTGCCTGCTCGCCTCTCTGTCCAGACACTCATCACTGTGCTGACCCTGTGGAGAAAAGAGCTCATGAATAGAGCTGCAGGGTAGCCATGGAGGAAAACAAGAAGTATAAGGTGTGCACTGACTGGAGAGAGAGCCCAGGTGTGGCGTCTAGATAATTCTACATTGTGTAGCCTACAAGGTGGATGTGAATGGGACCAGGAAAGAAAGGAGTTGGGTGGTAAGGATGTCTAGTGAGATGTGTGTGTGGGAGTACACACACACCCTGGGGCTGCTGGGATATCTTGATAGAGATGGGATTAGCGGGCATTGTGGGCTTTTAGGGTGTGTTTGGAGGAACACCTGAGGACTTACGAAGAACACCTAACACTCTACTTTGGTATTGGCATGAAGAAGTCCACCTTCCCAAGACACCACTTACCCACGTGTGACTTTGGTGGATCACTCAGTGCTCTGAGATCCTCGGCTCTGAAGCAGGAATACAAGTAGAGGCCACGCCACTGCCCATTCCACCGGGCAGAGCACAGAACAGCGTGCCACAGCCACTGAGGGTCTCTGAGAGAGGCAGGAAGAGGAAGTGCGGGTTGAGTGCCCGCACTGAGACCATGAGGCCAAAGCGGAGACCCGGGCCAGGAGAGGGCGAGCAGTCAAGGAAGGGGAGAGAAGGCATCTGTGAACATGGGGGCGGGTGGTGCCCCAGAGCCAAGCCAACTGCAGTCTGATTTCACATCACCGTGCGTCCTCGGGGAGACACGGCAGTGACCGCACAGTCGCGTGCCACCCGCAGGCCCCCGGTGCCTCTTTTCTTTGTGTCACCTGGAAAGTCTATAGCCTGAGCCTGGAAGTCCATTGTTAATGGCTTAATTATACTCTCGAGTGATTTCTGCATTTTTAATGAGCTGCCCAGCATCTCGCGCTGCTTCTGTCTGGGGAGGTGTACAATCCCTGTAGATCTGAGCGAGCCAGGGTGTAGTTTAATGCTTGGCTTTTGCCAGGCTGAGTGATTGGTATGGAGGCAGCAGCGTTACCCATCCATCCCATGCACAAAGGGTCTTGGAGCCGCAGAACATGGTCATGACCCGAGCACACAAAGGCGATCTGCCTTCTCCCGGCAGAGTGAGGATGCCTTCCACCATTCGACAAGCAAAATGTGTGTGTGCGCGCACACGCACGCATGTGTGTGTGTGTGTGTATGTGTGTGCATGCACGTGTGCGTGTGCATGTGTGTGTGTGTTTCCCTGTGCTCCATTCCTGGCGCCAAGATGTCTTTACCTACCTGTAAACCAGATTTATCCTTTTGAAGCCTGCCTTTGCCTCCCCAAACCCACTGGTAATTAATCAACTGGCTTATCTATCAATTTATTTAT